ATCAGGCTCTTCAGGTCTGCAGAGGGGGTTAGCTCTCCAACATTGTTCCACCTGTCACGGAGGGGCTTTTCCACTACTTCCTGGCTCCGCAGGTTGTTGGACTTTATCTCCAGGGCTTGGATTTTGGCCAGAAGTTTCCAGTCCTCAACTTCATAATCAGGTACAGTCATAAACCCGTATTCATCATACTCACTGGAGGGACACAAGGCAGGGATTAGTTCAAAGGACAGTGCTGGTACCTGCATCAAGGACCACTTACTGCTTAGGGCCATGCCAGCTACAGCCTGCAGCCAGGTTCCCGTCATCCATGCTGGAGCACAAGTGCTCCTTCATTTCTCTGACAGCTGCATGTGAGAGCCTGCCATGCATGCTGTCTCAGAGCCCTGAAGGCAAATGAGAGCCCACAACAATGGCATACTCACATAAATTCATGTAACTGTGCTCCAAGCTACAGCCCAGTCTCATCAGACCTCTCTCACCTCACCTGCTCCCCTGCCCCTGGGGGATTATCTAGCTCTACCTGTGTACCTTCTTCCTACCATGTCCTAGCACAGAGACAGTTCTGTAGGAAAGGACTGCAAAGGCTTTGGAGCATCAGACAGACGAACAGGGATCCACAGTCCCTTCTAATGTCTCCCCCTACACAATGCAAATCTCCTACCGACTGAAAAACACCAGCAGTGCTGATAGCACAGATCATTGAGGCTGATCATCATCACTCCACAGGCTAGGATACTCATAAGATGGCATTATCAGAGAGCAAGCCTGACCTTAGTGATCTCATCTCCAAAACTACCTGGAGAACCTGCGAGTCTGACCAACCAGATGACATGGAAACTACTACAGAACTGGGGCACTAACTGGCCAGGAAAGCATAAACACAAATTCAAGGACCCCAGCAGCACTGGTGGCGTGGATCTCTGAAGGCCTCCAGCCCAGTCCCCCTTCACTGCAGGACTGTCCCCAACAGGCCCTAAACAAGCTGACGGTAGCTTTTTATAGCTGGGACTAGAAAGCCCCAAGAGATGGAGATCCCCCACTTCCCAGATGGCCTCCTTTTCTACCAGAGCAGTTTACCCTCATGTAGTGTTTATGTCCCATGCATGCCACTACTGTTGTCACTTGCTATACTGTCTTCCACTGCCAAGAAAAGTTTAGCTGTATCATTTTTAACCTTCCCTTCCTACAGTGATATGCTGTAGGACATCAGACACTTGTGGTCTCCACACCACCAAACCAAACCAGCCTCCTCAACCTCCACTCCTAGGTCATGGCTCATGCTACAGAATGCCCCCAGCTACAGAATGTCCCCAGCTCTTACTTGCCTGTACACTCCCCTCCACAACCTCCTACAAGGGTGTGAATATTGTCATAATCTTGCCCCTTACCTTACAGGGTTCAGGTTAAAACCATCTTCTGCTTTTTCCTTCACATCCCACTGGAGCGCTTCCTGGATGAGGTTCCTCACCAGCTCAGCATGGGAGCGGGGCAGGCCAGGCACAGCCTCCTGCAGCTTCCGCAACACTGTCAGGTATTTGCTCTCCATCTGGCAGTTTCGTGCTTGCAGGCAGGCACACTGATGGGGAAACAAGAGCGAATGAGCTGGGTCATTCATAGGTGTTCCTGCATTGCCACTGCTCTCTATTGGCCTGGTCTGCACATGAACTGAAAACTCCTGAACGGCAAAGCTGCAGGGAACACAACCAGCAGTTTTCTCCAGTCAGTGGAACCACAGCCATGAATGATCACCATGGTCTATGAACAAGCACAACCTGCAGCAGCTAGCATGAACAGAAGTTGCTTATTGAGTGCGAGACCTACTACAGCATCACCTGCTTTAGCTACTGCACTGCAACAGTTGATAACCATATCCCAGCCAGCTCAGCTCAGGACACAACCCAAGAGCCACCATGGCACCTGAGTTCTCTGCAGTCTTTTTCCCTGCTCCTCAGACAAGTTATCTACCCCATGCCGAGCTGTATCCTGGAAAAAAAATACACCACTCCTGAGACTGAGCTATGACCACATTGTTTTCTGGATACCAGGTAGTGCCACAGACAAGATGAGCACACACCCCTCAGCAATCCCAGTCCCATGGCACTGCTACACAACATTCCTCTAGCACAGCAAGCCCAACAGAGTTCAAATAGCTGGACAGTCCCTGCCACCATCATACTCCTGGCACACAAAGCAGACAAAAGGAATGTGTTCTGCTACCCTCACTCCACAAGTGGGGAACTGAGGCCACACAGGTGGCAAGACTCACCCAATGTCTCACAGGTAGCTCAATGAAAACTCCTACTCAGTGGGAAGCAGCAGTTGAAAAAAAAAGCCAAAACGGAAACTACAGAGAGAATTAGGCTGCATATAGAGGGGACAGAGAGTGGGATACTGTCATACTACTGCTTTAACCAGCATTTTGCCTCACATTCATCATGTTGGTCTAATTAGTTCCTCTCTGAAGTTTATGGTGGCTTTAGGATCAGAGAAGGGGACTAAGTTAGGAGGTAGGCAGGGTTTCAAAGGACTAGAAAGCAAACAGATGTAAGAATGGCAATAACAGTAATAATAGTAGTAATAATAATAATAACAACAACAACAACAACTTCAGAAGCAGGTTTTTGCCCTGCTCCAGAATCCAACACTGTGGAGACATACCTTAAAACACAGGGAAAATCCACAGAACAAATGCCAGAACACACCACCAGCCTGAGCAGTGGTTCAGGAGCAGAAAGTAGGATTAGACAAGTCTTAGAGTAACCAAGCTATGCACACTTACAAGGCTAGAAATAAAAACAGAGCTTAAGAAAACATAAGAACCCTGATCCAGCTGCAGAAACTGAGAGCACTGCCACCTAGCAGTGCCAAACCTGGTAGGGATGCCAAGTCTAGATGGAGAGAGGGCTCAGACACTCTGCCAGTTCTCCGGAA